GTTGTTAATTAACGTGTTACATTCCGTGACGGACGAGGTATGTTGTCTCTGCAACGCTCGCATTGCTGTAAAAAATCTTCGATACCATAAGAATTCCAACGTAGAATACATTGATTTCCAGAGTGAACATCCCCTCGTTTTTTCTAGATATCTGATAACGTGTAATGCCTCATTTAAATCACTTTGGCTATGAAAAATTATCTAATAACTATTGTTGGATTTTCTAAAATGGAATGTCTGCATTACCTGTAGGGTTTTTAAGCCCAGTTGAAAGCCCATCTAAAAACGCTCTTCTTGCTGACGTTACTGTTTGGTCCACCCAAACTTTTGATTTTGTATGGCCAGCATTTATCCACGTCTCGTCCAGGAAGTAAATTCTACGGTTTTGGCTCCTGCATGTTTTTATTTTTGTCAAATACTCTCTCCTCCATAGTATAATTTCATCTCTGTCCATCAATGAACTGTTTCGGCCTCTCTTCTGCCAATTGAAGTTGAGTTCCTTTAATAGCCTGTAGAACGTCGTTTTTCTAAAATTCGGCAAATCTGAGTCTTCATTCACTACTTTCAAAATCTTATCAATTGTAGGAATTTCATTCTGGAAAAAGAATTCATGAACCTTCCTTCTGATCGCATGTCTGTCAGCATCATCTATTTCTTTAATTTGGCTTTTACGGTTCTGATTCGTTTTAGGTTCAGCAAATGCATTCCGTAATTTATATTCTTTGAATACTCTAAATACCGATGCACGAGAAACTCCAACTTTATTCGCCACCATCTGCACAACATCGTTGACGCTGAGCTCAGGTTTTTCCTCCGTTTCACATTTGTAAACATTTAAAATAATTTCTTTCACTTCGATGCTCGAATGGTTTTGTCTTGATCGTTTCCTGGGTGGACTCAATGTAGTTCTCCCTTCATCAGCTGTGTCGGTAAAAGACATGGTCAAAAAAAACCAGATATAACAGAACTTATAACAGCGATGCACTCGACGCCACGCCACGGCCTGATTACAACTCTGGTTTTTGTAGACATCAACGCGGCGCAACGGCGGGTTTTGTATTGCTACAGTCTAACTAGGTCTTAAAAAATGTTCGAAACTGCATGTTTTCCAAATTCATGGAGTTTTATATTGGAGCCACTTCAGGACATTGTATTTAGCAAAAGCATCAATATGAGGGGCGGAAAGTTTAAAAAAAGAAAAATAAAAGCTACGAAATGAAACTATTAGTTGAAAAAGCAAGCGCTTCAAACTACAACTTCAAACCGTAAAATGCCTGAACTATAATGAGACCCTCTGCGGGAACATCGATCACGCGCTGATCACGCTTCGAGTTTGCGATGTTGTGGTCTCACTTGGGCTGAATTTTAGTATAGGTCTACTCTGCAGACCTCCAGAAAACGTATTTTTCAGTCAGGTTGAAGATGTTGGAGCATCAATAGGTCAAGTATGTCGAGCTAAAAGGAGACTCTGCTGGGAAATAAACCACCACTTTTCCAAAGGTTTTCTTTTGTATGTAGGCTAGGTAGTTATCGGACCGCCCTCGTATACTCCGCAGTTTCTAAATGTCTGCAAGCGACAACGGCTGCAGCTCTGAATGCAATAAAAGGACCTTTCCTCCCGGCTATATTGAGTCAAGAGCCACTTTGACACTGGCCCTCCAACATGCGCCATTAGACAATTGCAGCTGTACGTAATAATAGGAGAGTAGGTAATAAACGGTCTGGAGTGGGTCGATACAACGGGTAATCACGTACACTTGATACCTGGCAGACCTTTGAAGCGGGGCTGAGGGATTATGGGTCATTCTCATTTTCCGTGTAGGAAAGTGTGCATATTGCATATAGTTGTTGTTTTGACGAAAACTCCTAACATATGAAGGGTACCGGGGAATAACGACAATAGTCCATCTGGACTGATTTTGAGAAAATCGGTAATTAAGGTTTACTTACTTGTTGTAAAGTAAAATTGATGAAAAAATAAGTCGTAAAGAATATATTTGCTAAACAGTGTGTTTATTGGTAAAATAGATTTCACAAAATGAACTTTTACTCAAAACTAGTAACGTAACAAACAAAAGATGATGTTCAACTCTGGACTCGTGCTATTTTTCCTCTGCTTTGAGCGTCTATTGGCGGGTCATCGACATATTCATCACTACTGTCTTCTGGATGATCAAGAGATATTAACTGTTGATAAAATGCCCTGGAATCTATTCTCTCTAGAAATTTGGATAGATCCTCCAGATCCTTCCATTTCTTACTTTTAATTGGGATTGGGCGCTGGTAAAGTTTTTTCAATGTTCCCTCTTCTCGTTTTTGTTTATCTTTTTGCGTCTTTTTTAGATTCATCGGACTTACCTTATCAAATTTAGAACTAGCATATAGGCCCATGTCTTCTGTTTACAAAACTTGAGCATCCTGACTGGTAGGGTTGGAAAGGGGCTCTTCGCCGGCGATAAAAATGTACTCGAATCTTGAAAAACTGAATTTTTGACACAATCAATGACTTCAAATGGTGTAGGTTTCACACGGCAATTTCACGTTCAAGTTCTCTTTAGATTGTAAAATCGCTCACTCCTTTTTTGATGTAGTGTCTTCTCAAGAATCTTTTTCTCTATACAGGGTGTCCGCAAAGTTGGGGTTTTCCTTTTCAGAAACAACTACCCTTGAAATAACAAAGGTAATGTGTAGTGAAACGAGGGCGACCAAGTAAAAAAAAATAAAGGAAAAAGTATTCACTCTCCAGTTGACGAGAAGGGCTAAGTACGTCTCTGCCCGAAAACATACCGCTCCAACAGAAAATGAAATCAGCTGATGCGCTACCGAGCAAACGCCGGCGGTGGTTCAGGCCACGAACAGAGGTAACAAATATGACCACATTGATTGTCTTACACTTAATAGCACATCTTCTAACAAGGAAGGCAAATTGTTGCGTGAAAAGTCTAGGTATTGCATCCCGTCCAAACGATTTGAGAGAATAAATGGTCCGATGAGCATACCGTTCACCATGCCAGCCCAAACATTCACCGAAAATGTTTGTTGAAAATGTGCCCGACGGACAGCGTGCGGATTTTCTACTGACCAAACATGAGTGTTGCGAAAGTTATTCACCCCATTACGCGTGAACGTAGATTCGTCTGTCACCAACATGCACTTCAAAAAGTCCGGATTATTGTCATGTTGATGCAACAACCACTCACAAAACCGCACTCTTGCTGGAAAATCGGCAGGTTGAAGGGCTTGTACACGTTGGACGTGAAACGGATACAGCCCCTCTTCACGCAGCGTTTGCCACACTTTAGTTTTTGATACTTGCACTTCTCTAGCCACGTCTCTAGTGCTTGTTGTTTTTTGAAACGCAATCGATTATTCGGGTTCGTTTACCTCTACACGCGTGACCGTAACCGTCGGTTGAAGGTTGCATACTGACCTGACACACTGACCCCGACCCAGTTCCGTCGTCGGGTTGAGCTAGTGTCGTAGTACCACGCGGGGATGTCGCGGCTACAGGACGGTATTCAGATATTTTTGATGTTGCAGAGCCCTTTATCTCGGTTCCCTTAAGATATGGTACTAAGAAAAATTGCTTATGTTTTCAAGATCTAAACGTCGTGTAAAGGAAAACCCCAACTTTGCGGACACCCTCTTTATTATTACTTGCTGACTGCCTAGTTTGTTGTGTGGGAATTTAAGGTAGCGGTAAGTGAAGATATATCAGCTTTTAAGGAATCACACGTACTACAATTATCTTTTCGTGGATAACCGAACGATATTTTGAAGTTGTTTTCAAAGATTTCTGGGAAGGTTTCATAGGAAATCTTATTTTCAATATTTCCAATAGAATACATTTTGTGTAATTTTGCGCTATTTAGATTTTCAGATAGGTAAACTTTTTGCGAATCTGCCAAAGAATATTGAGATTTGCGGCATTTGAGGTTCGTAATAAACTCGGTCATTTTCTGTTTTGTGTTTTCTGAAAGTTTGTGAAGTCGTGTGCTGTGTTTTCCACGCATGTCGATGGGCGATTTCCCAGTTGCAACTAATGAGTCTCTTATGCACCGAACTCGACGAACTGTAATTCCGTGTAAATACAAAAAAGCCTTAAGACAAACTGGAATATCACGTATAATTCCATTTTCAACCAGGCGGACAGGATACCTAAATGAAGCATTATTAAGCCTTGACTCTGCTTAATTTTTTCGAGGGCGTCTACGCAGAACAGGACGAACAGTGATAAGACCACTAAGGGCCTATTTCACCAACATTAATATTATGGATCATATGGGAAAATACCTTATCGAAATGCAATTTGACGGAAGCTGTCAAAGGTCTCTGAATATTAGTGATTTCTATTGAAATATTGAATAAAATCGTGAAAATGCGACTGTATTATAAACAAGACCACTTTTTGATTCCAACATGATGCTTTTGTACAGAAAAAACAGGACAACTTTCATGTATTTTGATATATGTTATAGGTTTACATTTAACAATCCGTTATCCCCCTCAGCGAATGGGAATGCGGCAAATAATAGGTCGATTTTCTAGCTGTTAAATTTGGCAGCAGATTTGGACGTTTGTTAATGCATGGCACTCTCGAATTTACCAACTTCAATATACTGAAAGTTATCATTACATACCTGTTGAATAGTGTGGATTTGTCTGTATTTTGCAAGAAAATAGAATATAAAATACATTCCTTCCAATTCCTCAACTTCCTTTACGTCATAATAGTAATAATTTATTAATTTATGGGTTAATGAATTTCTTCAAAGAAATAAAAACATAATGTAATCTTAATCATAAAACACAGATAATATGTGTAAGAGGTGTCAGTCACTACATCTCCTTGATGCATAATGCAATTACTATGGACATAGACGCACGCCTCCTTGCTTCAGTCCGCCGCTTATTTCATGTTATCCTTTCGGACGTAACAACTGTTTTGTTCATGCACGCTTTGAATACAATCTATTAGGTTATATGTTTCTTTTGTGCAGGCTTTCCCAAATAACGCTTCTTGGCACGCTATCGAATGCTTTTTCGAGATCTAAAAACGCAAAATATAGTTCGGTGTTCTTCACCCTGCTTTTCTCAATATGTGGTCCTGAATACTGTGACCCTTTCTAAATCCACTTTGCGCCTCGTCTAGATTGTCTTCAATATACTCTCTCAGCTTTCTGTCTAGTATTCTTTCATATACTTTACATGGAATGTGTAATACCCCTGTAATTGTTGTAGTCTGTGGTGTCACCTTTCTTAAATATTGGGATTATTATTCCCTCCCTCCAGTCATCTGGTACCTGCTTTTCTTCCCATGCCTTATTCAGTAATGTTGAGAACATTTCCATACATTCAGCATTCATATTTTGTAGCATATCCGCTCCAATTCCATCATACCCTCTTCAATATCTATTTTACTATGCTCTTTTCTGCTTCCTAAGTTTCCTATATGTGTATAAGACTTCCGTTGTTGATACTGTTGGACCCGACTATGTTCAGTAGTTCCTGGAAGTGTTCTTTCTATTTTTCGATAATTTTTTGTCCCTCTGAAATTAGCTCATTATATTTCTTTTTATGTGCTTTAGGCTATACTGTCTAGGGTTTCTTAGGTTTTTTAGGCCCGTATCGTCAGTCGTCCCTACAACTGTAGGGCGCCTTTATGGCCTCCTTGATTGTCATAGTTTTCTACTTTTCCCTCATAGCACTCTATTTTGAGGTTATGTCACAAATATCTATTTGCATCAAATTGTGCATGCTTTTGATTTATATCATGTTTTATCAGCCTGAAATTTCCTACAATTTAAAAAGATAACATATCTTCACAATAGGAGAGCGCTGACGCTGACACAGAATAGGTGCAATCTAGAAATTTTTGAAGGAGAGAAAGGAGTATGACAATCAAGGAGGCCATAACCGCGCCCTACAATTGTAGGGACGACTGACGATACGGGTCTTAGTACCCGATAAAAGAGTTTTTGATTGCCTTTACTACCTTGCTCCATCTGATTCCCGAATTTGCGCTTAGCATTGTCTTCCAATGCCTGCGCCCGTAATTTACGAAGAACTAAAATATCCGTGTATGAAACTTCTTTTCTTTCAGCCCAATCTAAAGCTTGGTTAAACACTTGTATAGCTTGCGCGTCAGTCACTACACTTCTGACTTCAATGGGATCGTTCTCATCATCCTCACTGTCCATATCCTCCTCCTTATCAGCATCATTCGTCTGCTTATCTTCGTTCTATAAATTAATATCAGGAGGAGTACAAACAATGTTGGGATTCACTGTTTTCAATAAATCAACAACATCCAATGACACACTAATAACATTATCATTATTGCATCGCAAACGTTCTCTAATTACGCTTAAGGGGACATCGTCTTCTTCATCATCTTCATTATTGGTACAAAAGAGATTGTTCCAATATTTTTGAATAGTTTGCTGGTTAAGTTCATTCCAGGCCATATGTAAATCTAAAACAGCTTCTCGTAATGTTACTTTTTTAAATCCTCAGATAAGTTTTCAGGATTCTTTGATAAGACAGACGAAAGTAGAAACTTCCTATAGTTTGGTGAGTCTTATTATATCGGTTGAATTAACGGTGTTACGTTGGGCGGCATGTACATGACGAAAATTGACCCATCCCTGCTCCTCAGTTGTTGCTCGGGAGGATGACTTGGTGCATTATCCAATAGTAACAACGCTTTTATTGGAAGCTTCTGTTGTTTTAGGAAACCTTTTACCTACAAATTGAAAACACATCTTCAAATTATGAGTAGAGCATTTGTGATAATTGATTGTCATACCTGAGGGACAAAGCACATTTGGAACCATTTCAGGAATATACTGCTAGTCATCCAAGCGGTTTTTGAACAGTCATAATCAACAGAGATATTAACATTTTTAAATGAGCCCGGATTTTTTGCTTTCCCAATTACCAGTGGCTTTATTTTGTGTTAACCATTAGCAGGCTAGAAACGTTATTCGTTGTTTCTCCGGATTTCTTCCCGGGGCAGATTTTTCAAATGATGCAGCATAGGTTTTCTCTGGTAACATTTTCCAATAAAGGTCACTTTCATCTGCGTTGTAAATTTGTTCCATTCTTAAATCTAGCTCGGTAATTGTTTTCCCGGACATCCAAATGTATTGCACGTTCTTTGTAAAATTTGAGTTTTCATACGCTTAATTTTACAGATTGTTGCTTTCGATACTCCATATTTTTTTGCTAACTGTGTCACTCCCGCACCTAGTCTATGATTTTCACTTTCTCACTCAACTTTAAACACTTTCTTTTATAGGATGTGGATGCCATAGTCGTAAAATATATTAACGCGTGCAATGTATTCACTTATGTTCAAAAATGAAATACATACGTACGTATAAACGTATCCTAAACGATCATACGACTGACCGAGTTTGTCGTATTTTATCGCAGAGGTGAATCCCCTACACTCTACATCATAAATCGGGGACTCCCCGACGCCCGACATAAATCATCGAGGCTTCAGCATTTTACCGTCGCGCTGTTTCCGTGCGCCGAGAGTTGTTTACGTTATCGAGCGTACACATTGTTTACGTTATCGCGCGTTCCGTTTCCTATAGAACGAAGTTTGTGTTTACATTACCGCAAGTTATCATTATCCCGTGTTTACGTTATCGAGCGTCTGCTGTAATTTCAAAAAATAAAAATATAGGAGTTTCCGTATAAAATTTTGTTTTGTCTACAGTTAGGTGAGGAGCAAGATATCGGGATGTTGTTCGCGAGCTTGTTTAGACATCACTTAGCCACTTTTTCATAATAAAAAATACCAATGCGTTTAATTTTTTTGAGAGGAAAACCATTTGTCGGAATCTCGAAAAAAGAAGTCCTCTAGCTGTCACATGTGAAACTAACAAAACTTCAAATATTATAACATTTGTAGCCGAAGAATAGCTGTTCTCAACTAGCCTAAGTTTGTTGCAATCGGCTCAGGCGTTTCGAAGATACAGGGTGTTTTTTACGGAAACCTTTGTATACCCTCCCACCACTTTATTTTTAGATATACCGCAAAAATTGTGGAACAAAAAAGGTTCAGATTATCCTAGAATTTAAAGATCAGGTATTTTCTTGTTAGGTTAGTATAGCGGAATTCTCAGAAATATCTCTTTCTTATACTCAGGGTTGCAATTACGCCCCCTAGCAGCCATTTCAGAACCTTGAAAATATTTGCCAAGTTTTTCTCTTACTCGTTTTAGTAATATCTAAAGAAATATTTTTCTGAATTTTATGATACTTGAGTGTGCTCACCCATTTGCTCTAATCTTTAATTCCTATCTACATTCACAAATCCTTATTTTAAGTGAGATAACGTATATTATTCCGCGTTTCGTAATCAAATGACTACTAATTACAAATGTTTGAATGTGACCTTGACGCGTACTGATATGGTTTTGTTTGTTCACCTTATACAGTATGTCCCATATTCTCTTCTCTATCCAGGATCTCGGCTCCTGTTATGCCTACAGCAAAGGTTAAATGGAAGTCTTAGAAGGAACTTAGTGTATTCGATAGCCGGCTTTAGATTTACGGTTGGTCAGTTGGTTTTAGAAATATCGGCGAAAATGTCGAATTTTGTTTTTTGTCAGTAAATCCGAAACGGTTAATTTAACAGCTGTCAAAATGCGACCTTATTCGGACATTTTTTTAGGTAAATAAGTAGCGTGTATGACATGTCTCAATCGTCTTTTTTTTTCCCGCAATCTGCCTCAACTTTCATTTTTCTCGTGGCCGCCACATTGGATTTTTTGAAAAGAGTGTAAAATTTCCAGCCTAGTGAGGTCTCGCAAGTGCATAAAAGATTGAAGTATCGTCTAAATATCATCACACGTAATGTTATGTACTCGTATTATTTCCTAACGAGGCCTTGATATACAGAGTGTCCGCAAAGTTGGGGTTTTCCTTTACACCACGTGTAGATCTTGAAAACATAAGCAATTTTTCTTAGTACCATATACACCAATGTCTTATGTCTTAAGGGAACCGAGATAAAGGGCTCTGCAACATCAAAAATATCTGAATACCGTCCTGTAGCCGCGACCCGCGACATCACCGAGCGGTACAAGGTCACTGGCTCAACCCGACGACAGAACTGGGTCGGGGTCAGTGTGTCAGGTCAGTATGCAACCTTCAACCGACGGTTACGGTCATTCGTGTAGAGGTAAACGAACCCGTATAATCGATTGCGTTTCAAAAAACAACAAGCACTAGAGACGTGGCTAGAGAAGTGCAAGTATCAAAAACTAAAGCATGGCAAACGCTGCGTGAAGAGGGGCTGTATCCGTTTCACGTCCAACGTATACAAGCCCTTCAACCTGACGATTTTCCAGCAAGAGTGCGGTTTTGTGAGTGGTTGTTGCATCAACATGACAGTAATCCGGACTTTTTGAAGTGCATATTGGTGACAGACGAATCTACGTTCACGCGTAATGTAACGGTTTCACCGTCCGATCGTATTTATTAAATCACTTCTCGATTATCATTTCATTAATCCCATCTCTAGCTTTTTTGCTTGGAAAATTTTCCGCTTGGAGCGCTTGATGCGGAGTTCCTGATCTGCGATCTTCCTCGCGCTTCCTTTTCACCTGAGCCGCCGATCGAACAACGGCTAGAAATTTCTTCTCAGTAGCACAAGGTTATATAGCACCATGTGCTGGAATTTTCTAGAATGTGTGTCCGTATAGGACAAAAATGATTGGGGCCACCCCCTTTCTCTTTCCCTTTCACTTTGCCTAGCCTTGGCCAATATTTTCACCCATGCATGTGCCTTGGCAGCGCCATCGCCTTTAACTTCGCCTACAACTGGTTACGAAGCCACTATATGTGAGGTCACCCCTCACAACTGGGACCTCCCCTTCAAGCCCCTGGCCATCCTGGCTTCAGTCGAGTAAAAATGGACCAGCGAAAGATAAGTCGATAGCGTTATAGCAGCGCCAAAGATGTAAAACTTGTTTTGTTATTTTTGTAAAATTGTAATGTAATGAAAATGCCTTTTTTTTTGTTAAATAAAATCTGTTAAATTTTTGTGTTCTGTTTGTTCTTCTATCCTCTAGCCATGCCTGTAGATGTCTTCATGCCACCGACTGAGCTACCGGAAGCTAATTGTAACCCCCTTTCTGTGATTGTGCAGAAAAGTTGGAATCTTCATTGCATTCCATCTTTTCTGGACTTTTTGCGGAAAGGAAGCGTTACAGTAATGGGGTGAATAACTTTCGCAACACTCATGTTTGGTCAGTAGAAAATCCGCACGCTGTCCGTCGGGCACATTTTCTACAAACATCTTCGGTGAATGTTTGGGCTGGCATGGTGAACGGTATGCTCATTGGACCATTTATTCTCCCAAATCGATTGGACGGGATGCAATACCTAGACTTTTTACGCAACATTTTGCCTTCCTTGTTAGAAGATGTGCCATCAAGTGTAAGACAATCAATGTGGTTTCTCCACGATGGTCATATTTGTTACCTCTGTTCGTGGTCTACTGGTCTGCATTACCGCCGGCGTCTGCTCAGTAGCGCATCAGCCGATTTCATTTTCTGTTGGAGCGGGATCATTTCGGACAGAGACGTACTTAGCCCTTCTCGTCAACTGGAGAGTGAGTACTTTTTTCTTTATTTTTTTTTATTTGGTCGCCCTCGTTTCACTACACATTACCTTTGTTATTTCAAGGGTAGTTGTTTCTGAAAAGGAAAACCCCAACTTTGCGGACACCCTGTATTTGTCAGAAAATAAAATTAATAAGTAACGCATTTTTTTCATCTAAGGAGGCTCTGACTTTGACATTCGAAGTATCCAAATTGAGTTTTAATAAGCAGTAGTATCTCATCAGAATCATAAATCTGACAAATAAAATTGCAAAACCTGTTGAAAATGGCCGGTATTCCGTACTCAAATGAAGAAAAGTCTGACATGTTAGCGCTGTACTTGCAGTCACACAGAAACGCCGGCATTACCTCAGCAAGGTACTTGGAGATGTACCCCGAACGGCGGCAGCCTCATATCCCAATTTAGAAAAATAGTAGTTAATTTAATAAACCTACAAGCGGATAAAATATTGAAAATGAGAATCGCGACAGAAACATTTTACAAGCTGTCAACGAAATCCCTAGTGCATCAGTAAGAACTACACTTAATTGTAAATAATTGGCACGCCTGTTTTTCACGATTATTCTTCTTAATGCTCTTCGGTCGGCATTTGTGATATTACTTTTCTTCACATATCGTGGCTTAATATTAACTGAACCAGTTACGTTATATCTTCTAACAATATTTCTCACACTGCACCGCGATAAGTCTAACAAAGTTGCAATTTCTGAGTTTGATTTCCCAGAATTAAAAAATTTAATTATCAGTAACGAATTTTCTGACTAATCATTCTCTACCCATTTTGAAAACCTTAATTACCCGAAACTATTTTAAACGTATTCTGACAGCTGTGATTAATAAAAACAATTGTCATGGCTTTTATTTTTCACAGCCACCTATGCGTTGTAGACTTATTTTGCACTGAAATGAAAATAGGTTGATATGCTGTAATTGCAACATGTGTTATTTTTATGCTGCAAATTTGATTAGGGAGTGATAAAGTTGGTGTTTTCTACTATATATTATCAAAAAATTCATTGTTAATATTTTAAACCTATAACACCCTGCTACATTTTGATTATTTGTGTTTGATAAGATTTCAATAGTTGGGCCAACTGAAGTGGGAAGGGGCTCGCATTCTACAATATCGACGGTTAAAGAGGTTTGACATATGTTCTGTGAGAGGCGTTGAAAAGCTTATTGCTCGTGTATCATCAGGTGAATCTAGCATAAAATATTATGTTACAAACGACGAAATGTTTCGATATTTTGCACGATGCACATTCAGCTATAGGACATGGTGGAAAACATCGTATGGAAAGTGAATGTAAGAAAAAGTACAAGAATATAACTCAAGATGTTACTAAGTTATATCTGCGCTTGTGTGAAGGGTGTCAAAAGAAACTTAAATCTGCCAAGAGAGAATATAAATTTATCAAGGTGTATCAGGACCATTTAATTAAGTTTGTCCAAATACGTGCAGTAACATCGAAAAAGGCTGAGGAAGTAGCTAAGAGCCTGATAGACATATTTTTTTTTTTTGCGCCCCATCCATACTACAATCGGACAACGTCCGTGAGTTCACCAACCGTGTCATTGAAGAGTTATGTACAATGTGGAGTGGCCTTAAAATAGTCTATGGCAAACCACGTCATAGTCAGTCACAAGACAGCGGAAAGAGCAAATCAAGATATACAAAATATGCTTATGACGTGGATGGATGATGAAAAATGCAGGCGATGGTCAGAAGGTGTAAGATTTGTCCAGTTAATGGAAAATAGGACATACCATGACGGGATAAAACAAGCTCCTTATGCTGCCATGTTTGGGCATTATATTAAAGTCGGCCTATCCACATCAGCGTTTCCAAAAGAAGCCATTGAAAATCTACGAACCGAAGAAGAGCTCGAGAAGGTTGTGGAGGAATTTGGTGTAGGTGAAGAGCTTCAAGAAAAACAAAATGAAGACCAATCTACGGACAGTAACCCAGAAACAGATAACATGCAAGAAAATATTACTGAAGATGGAAATGTGAAATATATCAACGATAATTATAGAGAAAACGCTGGTAATATGGAAACTTCAGATAATCAGGGAAAATGTTCAGAGTGTGACAAACCAAGTACAACAGGGAATATATGGGGTTGGCCAAAACGGACGCAGGAAAGTAAACGCATATTAAAACAAGAAAGATTGATACTCAAATCAAGTTGGGTACTTTATTTTGAAGGTTCATTTATACCATTTATGTATGAAAAATAATATCGCTCAAATGTTCACCACGACTGGATTTACAGACGTCCACGCGATGGTCGAAATTTTCAATGACATTTTGCAACATGGCCGGTTCTATGGCATTTATCTCGGCGATGATGTTGTTTTTGAGTTCTTGGAGGGTGGCTGGTTTGTTGACGTAGACTTTCAAATATCCCCATAAACGGGAGTCAAATCGCACGATTGGTGGCCATGGCACATTTCCTCTGCGCGAAATCACGCGATCACAGAAGAAGGACTGCAATCGATGGATATTGACGTTGGTTGTGTGGCATGTTGCACCGTCTTGTTGGAAATAAACATCGTCCATATCCATTCCTTCAAGTTGCGGCAAAAAATAGTCCTCTATCATCACGTGATATCGCTCAGAATTGACGGTAACGGCGTCCCCGGCCGCATTTTCGAAAAAGTAAGGTCCGATGATGCCTTTTGACCACAATGCACACCACACAGTCACTTTTTGAGGATGCATCGGCTGCTCTTGATACTCACGGGGATTTTCGTTCGCCCAGATGCGGCAGTTTTGCTTGTTTACCGTCCCATTCAAAGTGAAATGCGCTTCGTCGCTGAACATGATTTTTGATGAAAAATTGGCATCAGTTTGGCGGTGTTCAAGAAGCCAATCTGAGAACGTTCGGCGCGAAAAATGGTCGGCCCGATGCAGCTCTTGCGTCAATTGGATCTTGTAGGCGTGTACATTCAAATCCTTGTGGAGAATGCGGAGCAAACTGGTTCTCGAAATGCCCAATTCTTGGGATCGACGCGTTGTTGATTGTTTCGGATCGTCTCTTACCTGGCAGATTTGCCACAGAACCTGTTGCCTCGAGTTTACGCACCAGACGACCGATGGTTGTTTCGTTTGGGCGGTTGTTGCGACCGAAATGTTCACGAAGCGCGCGAAACGTGTTTTTTTATTTTTGTACCATTTTTGTAGTGCTCTTGAATAACTTTAATGCGGTCTTCAATCGAATACGACTCCATAGCGATCAATGATAAACATTCAACTAACAAAATGACATGTCGGTGACAGAAAACAAAGATGGCGTCTATGTCAAATTGACGTTTACTTTCCTGCGTCCCTATTGGACAACCCTTTATGTTGTGAACTTTGTTTGTGCCAAAAAAACAAACGAAATTTAGAAAAACAAGCAAAGAAAATGAAAGCTTTGTCTAATTCAAAGTTTCCGCCATGTTCTGTTGGAGATACAGTGAGAGTGAAAATTCCAGACGTTGATAGAGTTAGGGGTGATTTTAGAAATATTCTCATGACAGTAATCGAAAAAACTGACGACGATTTTTATAAGCTAGCAAGCAAGAGAGGAACTATCGAGGAGATGTTTTCCAGGAACCAATTTTCTGTGTGCAATGTAACTTTTAGATATGGAAAGTGTATCACTGGAGAAGAAAAGTTTACGACAACTTGCAAACCAACAATCTCGAGGAGGTCAAGGTTACAAACGATGCAACTGTAAAACTAAATGCGTGACCAATAAGTGTAAATGTAAGGCTATTGGAAATCTTTGTAACTCAAAATGTCATAACAACTTATCTTGTTTAAACAAATATGATCCAACTTTACCTGCCAGTTATTCTCCATCACATCGTCCACATCTTTAACGACTGTTTGGAAAAAGGCTACTTTTCAAACACATGGAAACAAGCTCTAATTATTCCAATTCCTAAAAAAATGAAACCCACTGAGTATAATGATCTCAGACCTATTAGTGTTTTACCAATTTTATCCAAAATTTTAGAAAAAATTATAAAGTTCCAATTGACCGCTTACCTAGAAAAATTCTTTATACTTCTCGACACTCAATCCGGTTTTAGAAAAAATTATAGTACAACATCTGCCCTACTTAATCTGCAAGACAATATTTTAAATGCCTTAGATAAGAAAATGGCACTAGCCTTAATCTCTATAGACTATTCGAAAGCCTTTGACAGCATCAATCATAAATTATTACTTGCTAAATTAAATTAGATAGGTCTGACATTGTACATACAATGTAATTGTGGATAAATAAAGACGTCTATTATTATTATTATTATTTTAAATAGATTATAGTATCTTGTACTTTGTTAGGATACAGTTTCAGTGTAACCTTTGATTTTTAAAATCTGTTCTTTCAATAAAATGTGTTTTAAAAACATGTAGATATGGCGTTATTTTTTAACATTAACCACACGAAAGTGGATAGAACGCGGTTTACCCGGGTAAAGTCCGAAACATTTACAATTTCAGTAATATTTTGGACTTTACCCATGTTGTCTGGGTATTGTGCAGTTTACCCGGGTAAACCCAAGTTTAATCATTATTCTAACTTTACCTGTAACATATAAATAGCGTGTATTTATACGTTAGCATGTCGTCTACGGATACAGCACATAAAACTGAGATTACTACTCCCAATGCTTCCTTCAGCCATGCTTCCTCTCCAGTGATGCCTCCTCCCCGAAACGAAGGGCCATTTGAATATTCAGGCAAAATAAATTATTCTTAATGTTTATAAGGGCGAAATTTTAGATCATCCTGAAATAAAAATGCATGATATTGAAAGTCGTGTGGCGATCAAAACATGCTTATGTCCTAACACAATTTTCGACATTATTAAAGAATATAAAAAACAAAAAAGATGTCTCCACCGCACAAGAGGCTGCAATACACGAAGCTTTTGGATTGGTTGGAATGTCATCACACGCAAAGTCCATCAATTTTTCAAAAGGCAGGAACTTCCCTGCTTACGAGTAGACAAAGTATTACAGGAGGTTAATAGGATGACTTAATTACTTTCAAAAGGACCACATTCTGTAGTTACTCAAAGAACTTCATTTTGAGCATAGAAAACGGGGCGGAAATAATATTTTGACGGACAGCCAAGAGATTATTTTATGGAGAAGAGATTATTTAAAATCAATAAAGTAATACAGCGACCAGAGCAGAAAGATTTATTACTCGTACTTGGATGAAACCTGGATAAAAGCAGGACATACAAAACCTAAAGTATGGGCTGATTCTACAATTAAATCAGCAAGATAAGCCTTCTTAGATAGACTAACCACTGGCCTAAAGATTCCGTCAGGTACGTGTATCTAACCAATTCGGCATTTGTGTTGTAAAAAAGGTTTCAAGTAGACTGAATCTACTCATATGAGCTCACGCTGAAAGCTTAGCTACACTAAACTTAGCTATATCTGGTAGATTTGGAACCAACACCTATTAGATACTTGTATTATTATTAGTTTTCTTGAATACTATGTGAAATAATTATTTCCCATAAAAGGAAAACGATTTGTTATCTGTCTCATTGGCAGTGAAGATGGCTGTGTGCCCACTGTGCATTTGAGTCAAAGAAAACGACCGACTACCATGCAGAAATGGACGGGAGTTCATTTGAACGATGGTTGAAGAAACGCTCCCAAAGCTTGACGTTAATGCCGTTATTGTACTTGATAATGCTGCATACCACACTAGAAAACTAGAAAAAATTCCCACAATGTCCACAAGAAAGGCAGAAATTCAGCAATGGCTCCTATCGAAACATTAGTTTCAATGAAAATATGGTCAAAGCAGAACCTGTCCATCTAATCAAGCAGCACAAACATAAATACAGGGTGTCCGCAAAGTTGGGGTTTTCCTTTTCAGAAACAACTACCCTTGAAATAACAAAGGTAATGTGTAGTGAAACGAGGGCGACCAAGTAAAAAATAAAGGAAAAAGTACTCACTCTCCAACAGAAAATGAAATCAGCTGATGCGCTACCGAGCAGACGCACATTGATTGTCTTACACTTAATGGCAGATCAGAAGGAAAGCAAAATGTTGCGTAAAAAGTCTAGGTATTGCATCCCGTCCAATCGATTTGGGAGAATAAATGGTCCAATGAGCATACCGTTCACCATGCCAGCCCAAACATTCACCGAAAATGTTTGTTGAAAATGTGCCCGACGGACAGCGTGCGGATTTTCTACTGGCCAAACATGAGTGTTGCGAAAGTTATTCACCCCATTACGCGTGAACGTAGATTCGTCTGTCACCAATATGCATTTCAAAAAGTGCGGATTATTGTCATGTTGATGCAACAACCACTCACAAAACCGCACTCTTGCTGAAAAATCGTCAGGTTGAAGGGCTTGTACACGTTGGACGTGAAACGGATACAGCCCTTCTTCACGCAGCGTTTGCCACACTTTGCGTTTGCCAAGTTTTTGATACTTGCACTTCTCTAGCCACGTCTGTAGTGCTTGTTGAGGGATTCTCGTCTACGCGATTACCTCCACACGCGTGACCGCAACCGTCGGTTGAAGGTTGCATACTGACCTGACACACTGACCCCGACCCAGTTCTGTCGTCGGGTTGAGCCAGTGACCTTGTACCAGTCGGTGATGTCGCGGCTACAGGAAGGTATTCAGATATTTTTGATGTTGCAGAGCCCTTTATCTCGGTTCCCTTAAGACATTGGTGTATATGGTACTAAGAAAAAATGCTTATGTTTTCAAGATCGACACGTCGTGTAAAGGAAAACCCTAACTTATAATCTTAATGTTATTCACGAAATGGCTAAAAACCAAAATAAGACGGTTTTAAGGCTACCCACTTATTACTACGAATTAAATCCCATTCAAATGATTCGGGAAAATATAAAAAACCATGTGGTTTCAAACAATGTAACATTCAAATTTTCTGACGTGAAAAATTTGTTTTATGAAGCTGTCAACAAAGTGACGGCAAACCATTGGACAGATTGCATGCGTCACGATCAAGAGACAATCAAAGCAAAGATGTTAGATCTGGACAATATGATCGATATTCAAATTTAACCTGTAATAATTAATATTAACCATTCCGATGATAGATCAAGTACTTCCAGCAATTAAAGAATTGTGAAAAGTACGTGCACTTCTTTCTATAAAAATAATCATTTATTTTACTCGTATTAGATTATTCCAAGACCATTGAGGAAAATACGGACCTGTACAATCTCGCTTTTGGGCATGTCGTATTTTTTCTGGGCGTAAATGGACTACGAATGGGGTATAGTTATATATATATCCTTGTTGACGATACTATATCACATTTCTGAAAATAAATTATCGTCAATGTTTGGTGGTAAGACGAATTGTATTCTACGGTTGTAGCAGCCTCTCCGTCTTTCACGTCTTCATTCTAGCTGTCATGTACGGTATTAGTGAACTGAAAATCATTAATTTCGTCCCTTCCTTTGTTGGAGGAAAGATAATAATGATGAAAACGCTTAGATAACGTCCACTGTTCCTGCTTTTGTTAAAAATAGATCTTTTTTCTTTTGTGCTTTCTTCATTGTTAATTACTGGACGTATCACTGATTTTATTGTAACATGTACATGGCCTGTATGTAAGTACAGTAATGGACAAAATTATATTGACAAATATGAATATTTACCTAAATACCTTTAGAAAACGAATTCATACTTCATTGCTCCATAAAAAATGCCTTATTAGTTAGTAGAAAAACTAAATTCCTTGTTTTTACATTATCTGCAATGAACATAATACAAGTCTGAATATAAGCACTTTTTTATGAGGGACAAAAATATGTAGACAAATTCTTTTCAACATTAGTTTAGTACAGTTTCGTGTCAGAAGATGATTAGTTTGTGTTCATCAAGTATTGTGGAATAAGTTGAGTGATTTTAACCTCTTCAGTCCCAAGAAATTGTTTTATTTTCTTTTCTTGAAATTTTAGGTAAAATAACTTTGCCAGGATTCAAAAAAAGCACAAGAATATATTTTACAAATAAACTTTACTTCAAAAAAATATATAACATGTCCAGTATTTTGGACAAATGGACTCGACTATCTAATTATGAAATTCAAAGAAACATTGCCTTTCTGGAGAAATACACAAATATATCTCACATTTTACACAGAAAAATCTTGTTTTTTTTGTACAACCTAGATTACGGCAGCGCATATAGGTATTTTTGTTATTTACACTGCATATTGGTAAATGTTCATTACCAGTGGTCCTAACATCTCTTGGTGGTATCTCCGACTTCTTGCATTTTTTAGCAGGTCGGCTCGATTCTTCATCTGGGGTGGATGGTCTAGGATCTTGGGAAACTGTTGTTTGTGCCCCAAGGGCAAGACATTTTCCAATATACAGTTTGAATTCAAGTAAATCCATGATTGAGCTTTTCCTATCTCCACGAGCGTTGCAGTCTTGTCGGTATTCGATCCATGAATTTGTGATTGCTAGATCGATAAAATGCCAGAAAACGCTCACTGGCCATTTTTTTGGTTCGCATACAGATTCGATAATAAGATATTAGTCTATCACACAAGTCTACTCCTCCCATAGAACGGTTGTAACTAGTTACAGAATTTGGACATGGGACAAGAATATATACTAAGTGACATATAAATTCGAACACCCAGTTTAAATGGTTTTATTTTAATAAAATTTTGTATAAGTACTTAATGAAGCATAATAAGTAAATGATAAAAATTTCAAAATGATTGCACTGCTTTAAAGCCCTTTGACCTTTAATAATGTGTGGATGCACCCTGATGTGCTACGCATTCTCCAACGCGCCTAGGCATGCTTCTGATCAGGTGGTCAATGTCCTCCTGTGGTATCTCATTCCAGGCAACCACCAACTCCTCTCGAAGTGCTTCTAGAGTCTGAGGAGGACGCTGCAAATTGGGCAATCTCCTACCCATCATATCCCACACGTGCTCAATTGGAAATAAGTCGGGAGATCTTGGTGGCCATGTTAACAATGTGACATTAAGTTGAAAGAAGTCTATTGTGACTCTTGCAACATGTGGTCGGGCATTATCTTGTTGGGAAGTTGGATCTGCCAGGGTGTCAAGATAGGGTAAAAGATGGGGTTCTAGAACTTCGTGGATATAACGGTGCGCGTTCATGTTACCTCTGATGAAGATTAAAGGTGACCTGGAACCATAAGCTATAGCACCCCAAACCATAACTCCAACAGTGTGATGAACATGTCTTTCAACAAAAAACTGTGGATTCCTCCTTTCACCACGTCGCCTTCTAACCCTGGCACGACCATCGTGCATGCCTGAACAACATCGAGACTCGTCACTAAAGACAATACTGTTCCATTCCTGATCCCAGAGTGACCATTGTCTGCACCACTCAAGGCGATTACGTCGGTGTTCTCGAGTTAAAGGGAGGACCCAGTGTGGCCGGTATGAAAACAAGCCAAAACTTCTCATTCGTCGGTAAACACTTCGCATGCCAATAGGTCTTCCGTGTTCTGCAAACCATTCATTTGCAATGGACCTGGTAGTGGAGAAACGGTCCCTTAAGGCCAATAATCTTAGGCGGCGATCTTCACGGTCTGTTGTTCTACGGCGGCGTCCAGAGCCCCTTGCTCTTTGCGTATGGCCTTCTCGAAGCCATGCCTGACAACACCTAACCACAGTGTCTACACTTTTTTGCACTCTAACTGCAATTGCCCGAAAAGAAAGTCCAGCTTCCCGAAGTTCCACTATACGGCCCCTATCAAACTCACTAAGTTGACGAAATCGTACAGGTCTCCGTACTCTAGGCATTGTAACCGATCGTAAAGGATGTCACGAACCAAAATCCGCCAACGTTGATTCTTTACTGCGGCTGAAATATTCATTTTTAAAGCGTTAGTGAATTAAAAAAAGTAGCAGTATAAAAACCGGAATGTCCAACTGATAAGGCTGAACATGTTTTCACTTGTTATTTACAGTAAGATAAATACATTTACCAACTTTTATTAAAATAAAACCATTTAAACTGGGTGTTCGGATTTATATGTCACTTAGTATATTTTGAATTCTTTTTATCCCATCGACGTACGTCTGGTTGCGGCGCAGAACTTGTTTATGATGATGCCATTGTAACTGATCTGTTGTCCATCCATTTGAGAATGGTACATTTTTTGTCTTCCCTTATGAATTCGTCGAAGAAACCGCGACCTTCTGAGAGCAGCTCTTTGTCATTTTTCATTTTGTTTCTAAAATCTCGTGGAATCCGGTTGTTCATAATTGTTCCCGTTCCCAATATTCCTTGTGTCAGTAAATGATCCAGTAGACTGACGGAAGTAAAATAACGATCAAAATAAATTATTTGCCCTGGTGACAAATCTGCTGCAAGTTTCTTAACAACCGAACCACCTATTCCTAAATTTTGATCGGGAGAACCATCCGGCCAGGTTTTTGCACCTTGGTAAATAAAAAAATCTAGTACGAGTCCAGAAGGTGTAGCCAAAACAAAAATTTTTAATCCCACAGGATTTGGCTTATTTTTAACATACTGTCGTAGAGATGTGGTACCAGTGAATGGGATCATTTGTTCGAGGATGCACAATTCTTTACTTCTTGGTGAAGTGACACATTTTCTACGAACCCCATCGATGATAGGTTGAACTTTCCACAGCCGATTTGACTTTTTTACCTCATTTGGAACACTAAGGTTATTAACAACGTGTAGAAAATTTCTTAATTTGAAAATACGGTCTCTTGGTAATTGAGTGATGCTGGATATTTCAATTCCCTTCATGAAATATAGCCGCAATCGTGGGAGTCCAAAAATGCCCATTAAAATATGTATTCCAACGAATGTGCGATATTCTTTGGCTGTTGACTTTAGAGGTTTCTTTTCGTTTCCCTGCATGGCACGAATATTACTTTGTTCTGCCAAATTTTCCCAAAACTCATCTGGGAAATATTCCAAAATATAGTTCAGCGATGACCAATACTCATGATCATCTTGTACCTGCCATTCCGGATCAAGGCAGACTTCTTCTCGATTTTCAAAAACTCCTCTTTTCCATTTTTCTTCTGTTTTTTTCTTTTTGTTGTGCTTCTGAAGTAGCTGGTCTCTTATTTTGGACAAAGGTACATCATCGTCAGACTCCTCTTCAACGGTATCAGGAACTGGATCTGCGTCTGGCGGCTCAAGAACAGCCTCCTCGACATCACTTGCCTCAATTGTGTCATTGACTTCAGGGACGACTTCTTCCTCATCATCGCTCAAGTAGAAGTCACTATCATTTAGAATTGCCTCAAGATCTTTATCCGTCAGTATTGACTTGCCAGCTTGCGGAAAAAGAAACAAAATGATAACACTCAAATAGGGAAGCTTACGTCAAAAATCAAAAAACTGCTTATAAACTTGAACCAAATAGAATCCCCATGTCCAAAATACTGCACATAATCAAAAACCGGTTGCTATGCAGAGATACCACACAATTTCTGTAGGTATATTACTTGAAACACTAAATTATAGTTATTTTATTTATTTCTAACTAATATTTTATCAAAACATTAGATTAAAATGCAAATATTACCTAGTTTCTGATACCACGCCATCGCTAACCTCAAAGCACGTGCACCGGCAAATTAAAACCGAAGCAGCATCAACGTTGTCAAATATTTTTTTCCGAAAATTTTACGGCGTATATTAGAACGTCCAGTCCGCTGCACAGCGGGCCGGAAATCCTACTAGTTCATCGTGAACCTCTACAGAAATATTACGAAAAATGTCCAGTGGGCTGGACGTGTGGACTGAAGAGGTTAAGACCATGCCGCATGGTCCAGAAATTTCTTTCGATGTGAAAACTAAGATCATTGAGTTATACAAAGATGGTCAACGTCAAGTCGACATTGCCAAAAATTTGAAGCTGAAGCGTAAAGCAGTTTTGGCAACATTGAACAAATATAAGCAAAAAGGTATCTTGGAAGCCTCTAAGAGAAGGGATCGGCCTAGAAAACTAAATGCTAGATCAGTTAGATTAATAAAAGTTATTTCGTCCAAAGATCCGTTTAAAACCCCAAGACAAATAAAAGCCGAAATCGAGACAAAAGGAATTGTCAGTGCTTCTACGAAAACTATAAGTTGTTTGCACGTCGCCCGAGTAAGAAGCCGCTAATCTCTAGGAAAAACCGTAAGGATCAGATGGTGTTCAATACGTTAGACGTCCTAGTGGACAAAGATTGAACGTCAAGTACACTTTGCCCACTGTCAAACAGGCGGGTCTGTTATGGTTTGAGGGTGCTTTTCGGGGTTTGGGATGGGACCTTTACATAGAATCGATGGAATTATGGATAAGTTTGTATACACAGACATACTAAAGCATATCATGTTACCCTATATGGAAGACAATATGCCCTTAAGATCAATCTTCCAGCAAGATAATGACCCGAAGCACACTTATCTCGCAAAGAAATTCTTTCTGGATGGAAAAATACCAGATTTAGGACCCAGAAATGCAGAATGTGCTGTTTGTTTACATTTGGTGGATTTCTAGATCACAAATTGGCAAAAATTGATTTTGATGTAACAAAAGATGATGAACCAGTTGGAATACGTTTTTTTCGCAAAATAACAAAAATTGGTACATTTCTACAGGTACGTATTATGTACAACATCCTGTACGTGATATAAAGACAAAACTAGATTGCCATGCATGAACAATCGTCAAAAACAGTAAAAACATCATATTAAATATGATAGCTAGAAAATCGACCTATTAATAGGTTTAAAATACCTTTGATTGAAACATAAAAACCCTGTATCAGTTATCAATAAATCAATTAAAATTTAATGGATTAAAGTGTTATTTTTCCTCCTAAACTGTAAAATACAGGGTCCGCCAAAGGAACCTGATGAGTTTCAATATGAAACTACAAATGTATCTTTCAAGATATTTATTTTCATATATAAGTAATCGAAAGGGTATTACACGCCATTTTATGTATGGAAAATAACTTCGGTCAAATGATGTCCTTCACTGCGGACACACTCTTCCAAACGGTTTCGCACATTCCCCGTTACGCGCTGTACCATACTCATCGGAATCGCGCTAATTTCATTGCGAATGTTTTCCTTCAATTCTTCAATGGTCCTTGGGCTCGTTAAATATACCTTGCTTTTGAGATAACCCCATAACCAATAGTCACAAGCCGTGAGATCGGGAGACCTTGCCGGCCAAGGAACATCTTCATTCCGCGAAATGACTCTTCCTGGAAACATTTCTCGCAGTCGAACCATTGTTGCTCGTGCTGTATGCGCTGTGGCGCCATCTTGCTGAAACCATACAGTATTTAAATCTATGTTCCGTCGACGAAGCTCTGGTTCCAAAAATGTGTTTAACATTTCCAGATAACGTTGCGAATTGACCGTATCGTCCTCAAAAAAATAGGGTCCAATTATGACGAATCGCGACACTCCGCACCAAACAGTAACCTTGCGACTATGAAGGGGTCGCTGGTGAAGTTCTCTCGGGTTTTCTGCACACCAGTAGCGAAAATTCTGCATATTTACGTAGCCTGATAACTCGAAATGCGCCTCATCAGACATAATTAAGCCACCTAAAGCGTTTTCATCCAAAAGTTCCAGAAGCTGGTTGCTTGCGGTCAAACGGGTCACAAAGTCTTCAGCTGTCAGTTCTTGAACCATCGCTAATTTGTAAGGGTGATAATGTAAATCCTTATGCAAAATACGCCGCACTGTTGTTTCTGAAAGCCTTAGACTAATTGCTTGTAGCCTAGCTGAACGACGTGGACTTTGCTGCACCGCTGTTCGCACCCTCTCAATATTGGCTGGAGTCCGAACTGTTCGACGCATTCTTGTTGGCTTAGCTTTCATTGCTGATGCAGATCGACGAAAATTTTTGACCCAAAACTTAATTGTGTTACGGCATGGAACAGAACCATGACGTCCGACATTGAAATGTGTACGAAATAGACGCTGTGTAATGATCACCGATTCGTGATTTTTAAAATACGTCTCGACAACAAATGCGCGATGTTCACTTGTCCACAGCTCCATGACTACTGAAATGGCATCTACTACCGATGTCTTGCCCACTGTAACCGATGTTCTACGTCAAAAAACAGCTTCGTACTATCCATCCTTTGGCGGACCCTGTATATACCTTCATCTGCAGACAATTGGTCCGCGATCTGACGCGTAGTAGCAAAACGGTCTCGTATTGTCTGAAGTGCCTATCTTGACGCTATGTGGTACGCTTCGGTGGACCAGTTGGCCTACTTCGTGTTCCTCTATCTTCTTCTATCCACACACGACACACACGCATTACCGTCATTTCAGTACTATTAACACGGCGACCGTTTTCTCGACAGGCAATAATTCTCCCCTGTTAAAGTCGTTAACATGGTGATAATTTGGATGTCTTCGAACTCGAGGCATTTTGTTATGCTTAGCACTAGTCAATGAAAGGGCAATAACTAAAAATATCTGTACATTCAGCTCTCAGAAACTGCTTTCTTCACAAAAACTACGAGAACATTTTAGCAAAGGTAAACAAAAAAAAAAAAGATAAAACGCTGACATGCTTTAAATATAGTCATTGTTTCCGAAAAAAAAGTTGAAGAAACTATTTTTTTCTGCATTTAACACTTTTGATGTCACCGAGTATATATTTGGATGAAGTTTTTTTAAAAAATCGGTCTCATCACTTAATTTACAAACTTCGTATGTCCACAAAACATATATTGCAGATTCATCTATATTGTTACATTAATTCACTGAATGTATACTAAGTGACATATAAATCCGAACACCCAGTTTAAATGGTTTTATTTTAATACAAGTTGGTGAATGTATTTATCTTACTGTAAATAACAAGTGAAAAAATTGTCAGCCTTATCAGTTGGACATTCCGGTTTTTATACTGCTTTTTTTTAATTCACTAACGCTCTAAAAATGAATATTTCAGCCGCAGTAAAGAATCAACGTTGACGGATTTTGGTTCTTGACATCCTTTACGATCGGTTACGATGCCTAGAGTACGGAGACCTGTACCATTTCGTCAACTTAGTGAGTTTGATAGGGGCCGTATAGTGGGACTTCGGGAAGCTGGACTTTCTTTTCGGGCAATTGCAGTTAGAGTGCAAAGAAGTGTAGACACTGTGCTTAGGTGTTGTCAGGCATGGCTTCGAGAAGGCCGTACGCAAGGGGCACTGGACGCCGCCGTAGAACAACAGACCGTGAAGATCGCCGCCTAAGATTATTGGCCTTAAGGGACCGTTTCTCCACTACCAGGTCCATTGCAAATGAATGGTTTGCAGAACACGGAAGACCTATTGGCATGCGAAGTGTTTACCGACGAATGAGAAGTTTTGGCTTGTTTTCGTACCGGCCACACTGGGTCTCCCCTTTAACTCGAGAACACCGACGTAATCGCCTTGAGTGGTGCAGACAACGGTCACTCTGGGATCAGGAATGGAACAGTATTGTCTTTAGTGACGAGTCTCGATTTTGTTTAGGCAAGCACGATGGTCGTGCCAGGGTTAGAAGGCGACGTGGTGAAATGAGGAATCCACAGTTTTTTGTTGAAAGACATGTTCATCACACTGTTGGAGTTATGGTTTGGGGTGCTATAGCTGATGGTTCCAGGTCACCTTTAATCTTCATCAGAGGTAACATGAACGCGCAGCGTCATATCCACGAAGTTCTAGAACCCCATCTTTTACCCTATCTTGACACCCTGGCAGATCCAACTTTCCAACAAGATAATGCCCGACCACATGTTGCAAGAGTCACAATAGACTTCTTTCAGCATAATGATGTCACATTGTTACCATGGCCACCAAGATCTCCCGACTTATCCCCAATTGAGCACGTGTGGGATATGATGGGTAGGAGATTGCTCAATTTGCAACGTCCTCCTCAGACTCTAGAAGCACTTCGAGAAGAGTTGGTGGTTGCCTGGAATGAGATACCACAGGAGGACATTGACCACCTGATCAGAAGCATGCCTAGGCGCGTTGGAGAATGCGTAGCACATCAGGGTGCATCCACACATTATTAAAGGTCAAAGGGCTTTAAAGCAGTGCAATCATTTTGAAATTTTTATCATTTACTTATTATGCTTCATTAAGTACTTATACAAAATTTTATTAAAATAAAACCATTTAAACTGGGTGTTCGGATTTATATGTCACTTAGTATATTATTACATCTTTAGGTTATGTAAGGTATCAAAATTGTAGAAATTGCGAATAGTCACAAGGACCATGGACAAGGAATTCGCATTCCGTATTCCTATGGGGTCATTCATATTTACCCCAATATTGTTTGTAAACATTTTGGATATTTATTGTCATTATTATTTTATTGATTGCTTCCATTTTTCAAGTCGGTCTGTCCGCGTTTTTTCTCTCTTGTGCTGGAAAAACACATTTGTAACTCGTACATTGAAAGAGAACTTGTTTGCTCACATGAAACTTGTCACACAAGCACGGCCTCATTTTAAGGACAGGGCTTTGGTAGAACACATTACGTCACACCTTTGGTGCTCAATTTTCTTTCGAGCTTTGAATACCTACTGTTGCCATAAGAAAAAAAACAATATACTTATTGCAGGAAAAATATTGAATAAATCAAAATTAAAAAAATTATTGTTATTATCACATTGAAATGTTATTATTTTCATTATGAGATTCTTTCTTTTTTTATAGATCTGTGATTTTGGACTAGCCAGAGTAGCGGATCCGGATCATGATCACACGGGCTTCCTAACCGAGTATGTTGCTACCAGATGGTATAGAGCACCAGAAATTATGCTTAATTCTAAAGTAAGTAACTATTTTATATTGTTATCGAATTCCAACGTTTGACATAGGCAAATATTTACATAGCAGGTAGGTATATAAAAAGGTATATAAAGACTTACATTATAGGTATTTATATATCATCCTCGCCTTCGGAGCTGTCGCTAGAGTCATCTTGTAGAGGAATTACAACGGGATTTACAGGAGGCAAAACACAATATTCATTTTCTTTTTCAATAATATGCCTAGAACACTGCTTCCATAGGTCTGTGGCAGCAATATGAGATACTGCATCTCTTATTGTGGCCAATAGCGATTCACTTAATTGAGGGGTCTGATTATGTTTTCTTACTTTTTTTTTAAAGCAGCCCAGACCAACTCAATCGGGTTAAAAATGCAGTAATAGGGAGGTAGACGTAATACTTCATGGCCATTGTGCTGAAGCAGATTGTCAACAACATACTCTTTTTCAAATTTTTGTCTTTTAATAAGATCCAATAATATGGCTTTGGTTGATTTTTGTGGTATTTCCATTCCCTTATCCTTCATAAAATCAATAATGTCTTGTTTTTTGTGCCTGTATTCGGAATTTTGTTTTTCTGTCGGGAACGGTATGGCGCATTGTCCATAATAATCACTGAATTTGGGGAAATGTTTGGTATTAACTGCTGCTCTATCCACTTTTCAAATAAGTCGGAGGTCATGTCCTCATGATAGTCGGCACATGATTCTTTGATATTTTTGGCAGATAACAGCAAGGCATTAGGTATAAATCCATTTTCACTGCCAGCATGGAGAATAATGATTCGTTTTCCACGGTTGCATGGTGCATTTAAAATGCACTTGTTGCTGTCGTCAACCCAGCCGTACTGCACAACATCATGGGTATCATAACACGTTTCATCCAGGTAAATCAGATTTCTTTTCTGCTCTCTATAGATTTTAACTTTGTGCAAACATTCTTGGCGCAATTCAACGATTCGAGACGACTCCATAATCACCATTCTTTTATCTAATTTTTTGTATTGAAAACCACACAGTTTTACAATACAGTGCAGTGAGTCAAAGCATTTGTAATTATTAAAATCTTCAGGATAATCTTTTAATTTATCCCGTATCATTTCCAACGTGGGCACCAAATTTTCTTTATAAAATCCGTATATTATACGACGAATATCTTCCTGAAAACCCACGTCTATTCTTTTTAATTTTTGCCCTATGCGCTTTCTGTGGAAGGAATGGTTGACTACATCTCCCCTTTTTATAACCCGATAAATGGTAGACCGACTGATTTTTGTCAGGATACAAATTCTGTTTAAAATTTGATTTTGCGAGGAATCTGGATTTTCGTTTTTCAGACAATCATGCATATTTAGTATTACTCTTTGGGTCTGTTCCTCTAAATCTTTATGAAAGAATTCTGCCTGCACAGGTTCATCAACCATCTCCTCGTGGCTTGGAGCATTTTCCCAAGGTCTCCAAAGAGCCATATTTAGGACACACAAGAACAATCAACACAAGAATTAAATCAACAAGTAAACTGAGTATTCAAAAGTCAAAAACACACAAACTAATAAAATCTATGAAAAAACACGGACAGACTAAAGAAAACACGTTTATTCACCGCTACACGGCACTGGCTAAACTGTTTCAATTTTCAGTAGCCACCTGCACTTGTTCGGAGCTCTGAAATACACGCTTTCTCATTGGCTATGTCCACGCATAGGCGTGCTTTACTCCACGTGGACCGGTGAAACTGCCTTTGATCTTATACGGGGGATATTTGCTGCGTGTTAAATATAGATATATAAAACGCACCCGGTATTTCACAGTGTTTCAAGTGACTTCAGATAAAGTATACATCGTGCTACGGTATTACCGTATCACTCACCCCTCAAAATAGCGTGATTAATGATTTATAATAGTAGAATAGATTACAGATGGGTTGTCTGACAAAATTTAGCCGCAATTACCTTTAATTAATTATAGCGTGAGTTGTTAGTGTGGATCGGTCGATATTTATTGCATATTATAGTATCTCAAAAAAGTTAATGACAAAAATTATAGCCAAAAATATGCTTCTTACTTATCTCTACAGGGTGATTCATAACTGTGCGGTGTTTCAAACATGCAGTTTTTTAAATGGAAAGCATTATATTTTATTCCAGATTCGGGTACTTCATTTCAAACAAAGCAATTTGATGTAACATACAGTAATGGACAAAAGTATATAGACAAATATGAATATTTACCAAATACCTTTAGAAAACGAATTCATACTTCATTACTCCATAAACAAATGCGTTATAGTAGAAAAACTAAATTCCTTGTTTTTACATTATCTGCAATGAACACAAGTCTGAATATAAGCACTTTTTTATGAGGGACAAAAATATCTAGACAAATTCTATTCAACATTAGTTTAGTACAGTTTCGTGTCAGAAGAGGATTAGTTTGTTTTCATCAAGTATTGTGGAATAAGTTGAGTGATTTGAAGACCATGCCGCGTGGTCCAGAAATTTCTTTCGATGTGAAAACTAAGATCATTGAGTTATACAAAAATGGTCAACGTCAAGTCGACATTGCCAAAAATTTGAAGCTGAAGCGTAAAGCAGTTTGGGAAATATTGAACAAATATAAACAAAAAGGTATCTTGGAAGCCTCTAAGAGAAGTGGTCGGCCTAGAAAACTAAATGCTAGATCAGTTAGATTAATAAAAGTAATTTTGTCCAAAGATCCGTTTAAAACCTCAAGACAAATAAAAGCCGAAATCGAGACAAAAGGAATTGTCAGTGTTTCTACGAAAACTATCAAGTATAAGATTAAATGATTTGAAGTTATTTGCACGTCGCTCGAGTAAGAAGCTGCTAATCTCCAGGAAAAACCACAAGGACCGATTACAATTTGCTCGGTTGCATCTTGATTGGAGCATCTGTGACTGGAAGAGGGTACGTTTCAGTGACGAATCCAAGTTCAATATGTTTGGATCAGTTAGACGTCCTAGTGGACAAAGATTGAACCCCAAGTACACTTTGCCCACTGTCAAACATGGAGGAGGGTCTGTTATGGTTTGGGGGTGCTTTTTTTCGGGGTTCGGGATGGGACCTTTACATAGAATAGATGGCATTATGGATAAGTTTGTATACACAGACATACTAAAGCCTGTCATGTTACCCTATATGGAAGACAATATGCCCTTAAGATCAATCTTCCAGCAAGATAATGATCCGAAGCACACTTCAAATCTCGCAAAGAAATTCTTTCTGGATAGAAAAATACCAGTTCTCAAATGGCCTTCACAGTCACCCGATATAAACCCCGTTGAAAATCTATGGGAATACTTAGATAAGCAAATACGTGATAAAAATTATTCAAACAAGGATGAACTTTTTGCCGCTTTAGAGCAAAAGTGGAGACAGATTGATGAATCTTATATCAAGAAACTTCTACAATCTATGCCGAGACGATGCCAGGCGGTGATTGATAATAATGGTTATGCTACAAAATATTAACACAAAGCTGGTTGGTTTTCTATAATTCAATGAACTTTTCTTCTTTTTTCTATAATTGTTTTGCTTTGTCTATATATTTTTGTCCTTCATAGTTCCAGTTTTTTCAATTAATTTTTTATTATTATATTTTATTATATTATTATAATGAATTTATTTATGTATTTATGTAAGTTAGTATTATGCTATAACGAATCATGTATACAGGTTGGTGTATTAATAAAACAAGTTAAAAAAGAAGTACAGCACAATATTAATTTGTCTATATACTTTTGTCCATTACTGTACATATTTTCAGATTGTTGAGATATTGGACAAACTATTGAAAAAAACACTCAATTTTTACAACTCGCAAGGTACCGAATGTTTCGTTAAAAAAATATGATTCCATATTTTGTCCCTATCTACTTTTCCAGTTATTTTGGTAGTTTATACATGGGGTAGTCAAGAAACCAGAATTACCTATTTTTCAAAATTTTCAGAAGGTTATAAGTATATTTCCACACTTTTCGATTTGATTCTTTCCATAAACTTTTTTCTTATATAAGGTGTTATGGGGGTTTGTATTTGTATGTCTGGTTTTTAAGTTGGTAAAAACATAGATACACCTGTATATACAGGGTGGCCCATCCATGTGTGGACGGAATATTACTCATAAACAAATACATTTTGGGAAAATCTATTTATGGCATATTATGCATGACATTTGAGGGCACATTCATAAAATATGGGCAATTATACAGCGTGCCCCAATTTTGACCTACATATCAAAGTTGTAATTCTTTAAGTGTAATTAATGCCTCAAATTTTAATGCATATTTGGATAAAGAATTCAAAAAAAGAAGATCGATATAACATAGTTTGGTAATTAGCTACTGAGATGTAAGATGGTTTGTCCAGAAAAACCGTCCACTTCGGCAACCCCTCAATCCGCCATTTTGAAATCGGTAGTGCCGAATTTTGTATAAAAAAAACTTACATACCTCAGCATTTATCCTATTTATTACTTTTTTGATTTTTCATTTTTGCTCATACAGGGTGATCAAAAACGCGAATTGTACTTTTTCTCAGGAATTTCAAATGCATCACCCTGTGCATTTGTGCATGTTTGGATTCAGTTTTTTATAAGCTTTTTTTGATGATAAGGTTTGATTCAGATAAAATCACTAGATTTTGAGTTATTAAGCTTTTAATAGAACAACACACCAAAACTAAGGACAAAAATCACATCATCCATGGAAACAAAAGACAAACAGTGGGCTAGTTCCATATTGCCACTAAGAGTACAGATTTGACGTAAAAACTAATAACGATCAGAACAGTATTCAGCTTCCAGCGTAATAGAGAAAGACAACTATACAACTATAATAACAACAGAAACAAACAATTATCACTACTCAAGAGCT